TTTTCGATAAAAAAAGACATTTCTCTGGGAGTAAACATTGAGCTTCCGGTAGCTATGGGTAGCGGTGATGTTGTTTTCCTGCCATGTTCGGGCAACTTTTTATAAATGCTTTTGTAAACTATGAAATTTTCTTCCATTTATCTTTTAGAGTGGTTTTGCTGAGGGAATGTCTAGTCTACTTTATAGAAGGTGATTTATTCTTATGAAAGTGAGTAATATTGTATGAATAAAAATAATTGCTTTTGCATCTGACAAGCCCACTCCACTGCCCCGTGGAGTCAGGTGTGGTAATACCGAGCATGTCACGTTGCCTGTCACACACTTGTTAACACTACTTGGATTTAATCTTTTCCTTAGGCCATATTAATAATAATCCAGTTTTTATTGTAATGCATTTCCGAGTGATAACCTGGATGGAAATTTCCTCAGTGCCTTTTCTGGTACCTGTAGAGCATCTCCCAGCTGCGTGTGTGTGGAGGGCCCGAGTTACCTAGCTGCGCCATGCTGCCTCTTCACCCCACGCGTGGCGCTTTTGCTAGTTTTACTGAACAGCTTCGGTGGAGACAGAATTCCTGCCCGGTCTGGGGACAGTGCTCTGCTCTCGTTTCAGCAGAGCGGCCTCCTCCGTGACAGCAGTTAGTTACCTTGAAGATCCTTCCCCTTGACCCTTGGCTGCCTTATTCCATGCTTGGTGTTAGATGTTCTCTTCTGTGGGAGCTGAAATCTTTTGGTCACTTGCCTGTGGCTCTTCCTGCATCTGTCCCAGCTTCTCTTTCTTTGGGGACTTGCAGCTCAGTGCAGCAGGAGCTCTGTGGTGACTGCTTTATCTGGCACCTGGTGTAGGAGCAGCACTGCTTTGCTGGGCTCCTCTCGAGACCACAGCACTGTGGTGAACAGACGCCCTCTGGACAATGAATTCTGCCTGTTCTCATATTTTACTCAGCGCTTATACCTGTAAAGTTCAATGGGGCTTCCTTCTAGCTTGGCTTCAGTGTGTCACTTTCATTCTGAGTTCTGATGCCTTCCGAATATATCCGGAGCTGGGCCATGCAGCTGTTTGTGTCTAGGAATGGGCTGAGTGACATTTGGTGGAACTTTATCACCAGGTCCAAGGTGATGAATCAGATAGGCCTGCTCCCTGGGCCTCTCACCGGACAGGTGTGGCCAGCCGGCGGGTCTTCTCAGCTGCACTCACACCTTGCAGTAACAGAGCTCGTAATCATGTTTGCCATACAGTTTTCGCCAGTTTGGGATCCTGCACATCACTGAATGTTGTGTTTTTGGCATATGTGTAGAAGGTGCAGGAGCTGTACATATGATCTGCTTTCTAGAACTGGTAAAGCAGTAACTTTTGGGTCATGAGATGAAGACTCCTTTACTCTTGTAGCTCACTGCCAGGCATATATTTTCAGCTGCAGCCAGAGTCAAAAGCCTTAATGAATTCTAATAGCAAGGGCAGCACACACCCCGGTGGGGTTTTAATTGACAAAGAAGTGGAAAACAAACAGGAAGGCTGGTGTGTCCTTTGTGGGGGTTGGCGCACAGCAGAAGCCCGGCAGAGCGCCCAGCAGTGTGACTGCCATGGCTGAACTAAGGCAGGTGCCTTCACTGGGCCGTCAGCGTTTGAGAACCTCCCACCTCTGAAAGCACAATGGCATATTGACGTGTAGCTTTTTGCAAGCAAGGTATTCAGCTCTTTTCCAGGTTTCAAAAGAATCAGCGCATCATACAGGCTCAGAAGCTCTGTTTACTACATGGACAACAATCCAGACTCCAAAATGAATAAAGCAGGTTGTTGGCAATTGATGCAACAAAACCCTTAAAGGAGAGGTTATTAGTACCTCTCGAGTGCTGAGTTATTCTATGCACAGTCTCTTGGAAGCATCTTATTTAATCTTCACATGGACCCTAAAAGGTAGGTAGGAAAGATTCAAGTCCAGGTCTTGCTCAAAAGCCCACATACTTAACTGTATACCACACTGCCTCTCTGAAGAATGAAAGTGACTAAACATTGAAGATTTATAAGAAATAAAGACAAGGAGGCTGGGGATTTAGCTCAGTGGTTCTGCCATCTGCCTGTCTCGCAAGTGCAAGGACTCAAGTTCAGTTCCCCAGTAGAGAGAGAGAGAGAGAGAGAGAGAGAGAGAACCTAAGGAGATTTAATGTGCAAAACTGTGACTTTTTAAAAGAGCCTATCTGTGGAATAAACTTGAGTGATTTAAACGAGACGGGGTCCCGAGGGTATGAAATGAGGCAGAGCACAGCTTCCAGGAGGCATTGTTGAGCCTAGCAACGCTTTCCAAGAGTGGAAGAAGATGTAAATGGAGCAGTTCCGAGGCCACTCTTCACTGTTCCAGCGCTCCTGAGTGAGATCATGTGTTTATGAACTGAAAGACTGAAGTAATTTAATCCTTCTTTTGCATCTCTGTGTACATAATGACAGTCGTTACATCCTACATTACATTAAGTTAGGTAAATCGTGCGGTGTTGCCCTTCATCTCTGTTTGGACTTGAGCATTAATTCTTTTTGTACAAGTTTTCTGCGTGGAGTTTAGGAAACATTCCTACTGTAATTGAGCCCCTCACGCTGCCTTTCTTATACTGCAAGTCCTAAAGAACATTTTGGTCATTGTTTTCTGGAAATTATTAATTGAGAGTATTCAGGGAACAAAAACTAATACTCACACGTTTCTGGAGGAGTTATCTCTCTTCCTTTTTGCCAGCATCTCTTACCTAAAACCATGTGATCATCTATTTGGAGAACTCTGGGGAGGCTGAGCAGGATTAATTCCCATCCCTGTATTGCGGTGTGAACAGCTTTTTGCCTGTCTTTTGTCATTAATGATCATGCTGTAGATGTAGCCAGTGCATTGTAAGCCAATCTGTCAAGGCAAGTAAACAATTCACCTTGTTAAAATTCCCTAAATCTTGCATTAATAAAGCCGAGGTAACCCCTGAGCACTGCAGAGATGTCTCACTCCATACTACAGTGAGGGATGACGTTGTCCGAAGATCCGGGTCATCAACAGTGTCCCACACTTGTTATGGATTTAATTGATTTTAAAAAGGTGGGGGTGGAGGTAAGAATGTTGCCACCCCCTTCTTCTTTTTTTTTTTATCTGAAAGCTACTGCTTACATAGATGAAACTGTTGCCCACTTGAACAGCTCCAAAATACATTCAGATTTTTAAAATTCAAATAGGTATTGAATCATCTTCTTAAGCAGATGTCTAGGAACATCCTGGAGCTTTATATGTGTCTTGATTCTTAGAACTTTTGTATTGTGGGCATTGAAATAACCTCTGAGCACCCAGAAAACGCCTTTGGGTCCATAGAATTTAAATGGAGGTGAAATGACTGCAGGGAAATTTCACTGAAGTAGGATAAAGTTATGCCTATGGACACAGTTGTTTCTTTTTATTGAACTTTTCATTTTTCTATTTTCATAACTAGGGAAAGAAAAACTATTACATATAATGTTGATGGATGGATGAGAAAAGATTCAGAGAATGGCATAGAATTTTGATTCTATATCACTGCCCTCTGAGTCACATTCAAGTTGTTGTGTGTGTTGACTTCCCACTGGACCCATGTCCAGGAAATGCATAGTGAATACCGCAGAACCCCCAGGCAGTCTTCTCCTCTTCTGTACCATACCTTCGGGCAGTACAGTGGGCTGCGTGAGGAACAGTGCCGGCCTCAGACGGCTTCTAGCCCTCTCCAGACACTGAGCAGCAGGAGGCTGGTCACCAGTGACACAGAGCTCAGCCTGGCAGGACCGCAGCGTGTGTGTGCCTCGTACAACCGTGTCTGTCCTGGACTGGGTAACGGGGCTCCAAAGCCTTACGGACAGACACAGGGCACCGCAACGTGAAATTATGGCTAAAAACGAGATATTCCACACACTTACGTTCCCATAGTTTGACCTGACTTTTGTCATTTATGTTACCTTAAATACCTGCTTATGTTCCCAGTTAGCTTTGTGGATTCTTCCCCATAAATTCTCGTTGTTCTTTCAATAACATGTACTTGCTGGGGGGAAAAAGTAACTTGTCCGTGGTAAGTTAGAAAAAAAGGACCCCTCAGAATAGCTGTACTGGTTTCAAAGATTGTTACATAGACTTCCATGGTCTTTGGGGTAAATAGGACAGAAATAGGAGGGGGAGGCAGCAGTATATAATCAGTTCAAACGCTGTGGCAGATTCTTTTTTAAAAAGTAGAGATGAAGATGCACTCTATAGTTTTATAGAGTTCTATATAGCTCGATAGGATTTCTGCTTGAAATTGCACAATTTGGATCTCCGACTAGCGTGGTTATCCCGTTATGCCAGCTATTTAGCAGAGCCCTTTAAATGAACAACACTACAGATTTTTTTCAACATATGCACTGATTTACACTTAGCAGTAAAGTTGTTACTGACCCTTTAAGTGGAGCTGTCCAAATGGCAATAAATGTCAGTTGATCCTAGGACTGAAACAGGTGATAGCTGAGGGGTTTGATTAAAGCTTTTAGTTAGAAAAACTGCATATAGTATTTCTTAAGCAGCAGTAACCTCTCTTGGAAAGACATTCAGATACACCAGACTGTTTTATCACTAAGGAAAACGTGATTTACGTATCTAAGCAATAAAGTCGATGCACCCAGATTTGGAACTATTCTGGATTAGAATTCCATGAGGGCGGGGACTCCATCTGGCTGGTTCTCCGCGGTCTTGTGCTTTGCTCCATCTCTGCAGTGCAGGAGGTGCTTTGTAAATGCTGGCGGAGTGAAGGGTTGGGAGAATGCGGCATTTGCTGGTGCTCCCAGCTCACGTGCCCACCGGGATCCTTGGTGGGGTGGATTGGGGACCACGCCTTGTCGTGCTCGTGAACAGTGTTGCTGGCGAGGACTTGATGGACATTTGTGACTTTTTGGTATAATGCCTTTGATTGATTGTCTGGTGCACTTCACTTCAGTTTCTAACTCTGTTCTTGTTTTTTGCTGTTTTTTTCTTTCGCAGGCTGTCATTTTAGAAAATGAAGAACTTCCAAAGCTGTTTCTTGATTTCCTAAACGTGAGACACTTACCCTCTCTACCAAAGGCAGAAAGTTGTGGGTAAGAATTGTTGTTTACGTATTGGGTGTGTGTTTTAAATTATTTTACAATAACTGATTAGTCTGAAAAGTGCCCTAGAGAGGTGCCATGAGAACTGGGCCAGCCGCACCCCATGTTCGGGTCGGGACAGCACTTGCTCGCCCCCTGCCTGTCGTCAGAATTCCTCCCAAGTGCTCATCCCCGTCCTGTGGCCCAAGTGGCCAACACACAGTAATTCATGTTTAGACATAAAGAAATGACCTTTTAAATTATGCTGCTGCGTAGGTGAAGTTACATGATGGCAATTATGAACCTAAGTATCTCGCTTAGGGACTATTTATTTGTGTGAACTTGAGCCAAGTCCATATCCCCTTGGTGTTCTGCGTCATATAATTTTAAAGACATAAATGACCTTAGGGATGATTTCACCCGACTCACCTTACTTTGTAGTTGGATAAACAGAGACACCGGAATTCAGTGTCTTTCTCAAGATCTTCTGCCTTACAGCTGGTGGCACCCAAGCCTTCCAGTGCCAGCCCTTTTTCGCCACTGTCCCGCTACTTCTTCCTCAGGAACCTCTGGCAGCTGGGCCCTGCTCCCTGTCTACCACGGAGCCAGAGGTCTCAGCACCATGGTTGGGAAAAGCTTTCCTGAAGAACCTACAGCGAGCCACTTACACAGCTGTGAGCTCATGCCTTGGGCTTAGCCAGCCTCTGCAGGCAGTGAGCAGCATCCCTGCAGAGTAAATCCACCGGCAGGGAAGGAATCTGCACAAATCCCAGCCAGAGCGGGCATCTGACTGACTCCCCCTGCCTGCAGCCCATCCAGAAGGAACTACACTAACTACAGTACCATCACACTGGGCACAGCCGGAGTCCTCCTAAGTCCTGGCCGCTGTGAGAGGAGAGGCTGGGCTCACCTGTCACAGCTCCTCACCAGAGCCGCACCACTGGCCCCAGAACAGAACTAGATGCCACACTTAGCTATTTACGGTGTCAGTGCGCTCAGCTCCAGCCTACGTGAATGTGTTTAAGCGAGGTTAGACTCATACAGCTCTGTATTTTAAGAAGAGAGAAAGAGACATTAGAAACAGTAGTGAGTGAAGTCTATCCATTGTACAAGCCCCAAAGTAGTATTGAAACTTTAGTATTTTATAGTGATCTCCAGGAAAATTGAAATACAAGTCTTCCTGGCCTAAGATCCCTTAGGCTAGTCATCAGCTGTGCTGTGGTTCAGCACAAAGGCAGCGGAGGTGGGGGGGTGTTAATGCTTCCCAAATCAGTGCTGTAATAATACTGGCTGTTCTCTTTGTTGGCACAAACATGGGCTATACTTACTTGGTTTTCTTCTTTTCTTTTACGAAAATTTTAGATCTTTTGATGAGACAGAATCTGAGGAGTCAAGGTAAGAACTAGGATTAGTCAACTAGGGGTGATACAGAACAAAAACAGGACTCATGGTTTCACTAGGTATCCATTTCCCTGATAAAGCATTAAAGTCAAGTCTTCGTGAAAACTTTTGTTGAAAATTGGTTTTAAGCTTGTGCCTGTTTGACGGGGAGCTGCAGGAGTAGCCAGGTATGATGAGGACTGATGAACGGGAGCCCCGTGTGGGCTCACAGAACAGGAGCCCTATTTCACCATCACATTTCCAAACTTCGAAGAAAAGACTTTTCAGCCGCAGTGTGTGGTACAGATTGCTGCCTGCTTGGACCCCACAGAGAAGCATGCAGGGGAAGAGTGCAGTGCTGCTGTACTGCTTGTGTTTGCTGTCCGCCCCCAGAACTGTTAGGATACATAAGCCTGAAGACAGCCCCACACAGCAGTTTGATCCCCTCAAAGCTAGTTTGTAGTGTTTTCTGTTTACCGTCGTCCCCTGATGCTGACATGCTTGTTCTTGACCTTTCTAGCAAACTGTCCCACCAGCCGGTGCTGCTGTTCCTCAGGGATCCATACGTCTTGCCTGCAGCCAGCGGTAATCAAACCTGTCATCTGCTAACAGCTCTTTACTGATCTGGCCCTGCACCCCATAAACCACGTTTTTAATACAGGTCTAACAGAGTGACATTGGTCCAAGGCTTAATAATCTGCCAATAAACCAGTGCTCTTGGTGTAAGAGACATTTAGAATTTTAATTGGGGCCAGGCTTTCAGCAGGAAATGTAATTTTTCTTTCACTCTTACCAGGCCATTTTGAATTAGAGTAAGAAGCAGTAAGATGGGAAGGTATTTATTGTCTTTAATTTTTTGGCAGTGTTATTTGGGCTGCTGTCTATTTTTATCCAGATTCCAGGCTTTAAATTGAAGGCTCTAGTTCTTCTGAAACATGTTTTTTTCTCAAAATATATATTGCAGTTCTATCTCCATTTTCATTTAGATTGTAGTATCTTTGACAACCAAGTATATATGTGTGTATATATATATTTTAAGGTTGCGTATTTTAAATATAGTTTATTTACATATAACAGTATGTTAGCCTTGTTTCCTGTCTCTGTGCTGGGAAATTCAGGTCCCTCAGAGTCCCTTTCAAGAGTGCTGTCTCGAGCAGTTCTGTGTGAGTACAACCTCACACTTACCTCGCTTTCTTAACAACTCTTTGAAATAGGCAGGATAGATATAATCATTGGTTAAGTGAGAAAATTAGGACTCTGAGAGGTCCTTGACCTGCCTAGCCTCAGGTGGCTTGTGGATGTCTTGTGGCCCGAGTTCTGTGCTTTTTGAAGATAGTGAATTTTCAGCCATGGTCTCTGAGAGTCACTAAATAGCATAGCAACCGGATGGCAGTAGAAGAAGGACTCGCTTAAGCCATGCCTTGTTTCTGACAGCAAATCCCTGTCACCAGCAAGAGAAGGGGGCCTGTCTTCTGTGGCAAGGGCACACAGTTGGGTCACCCACAGCTGTCAGCTGAAAGAAGAGTGGCCGGGACAGCCCTGCTTTGCTGAGCTGCTCCCCTGCTGCTGGTCAGAGGCAGCGGCCTTTCTGTGAAGTCCACAGCGTTCCTCCGGTGCGGTCTTCGAGTGAGGAGGAGTGTCCTCTCTTAAGCCTCTCTTAAGCCTCTTCCCATGACTGACATGTGTGTGCGTGCTACAGTGTTATATTTATCGCATATTCCTAACAACCTAGATTAAGTAGGCAATTTTGTAAAATATTATTATCTTTTAAAAATGGCTCCCTAAGTACTTTTTCTAGGTGTTATTTGTTCACATATTTCATGCACTTGACCAAAATTCCTGCAGAAATATAAAGAATGGCGTGATTGCTGTGGACAGGACACCCAGGGTGCTTAACAGAGGAGGGAGACATTGTACGGCTCTTCGCTGCCTTCATTCAGCTTAGTAAGCAGCGCCCAGCAACACGGCCACACCACCAGCTTGATGGCCAAGAGCTGGGGGCCTCTGGGAAACGCACATCAGGGCAAATGTGTGGGGCCGGAAAGAGTACGGAGTCCGCATTGCTGATGGCGTGGGGGGCTCAGCTGGACAGTAACGGAACGACGTGACGGGGTGGTGTTAGGGGAGGAATAGCTAGGTACGAGAGGGTCGGTCACCTCGTGTGTTTTCTTGCATTTGGCCAACCCACATTCATAAATCAAATTTGTGCTGTCTTAGAAGGTTTATACCAGTGACCTATTCTTGCAGATCTTTACAGCTAAAGAGAAACTCCACACATGTCACATTTTTGTGTTGGGTCCCTTAGCAAGGCGCTGAGGCTGTCATTCCAGAGAACACTCAGTATGGAAATGTTTTCATAGATACACTGATCCCTGCGATGTCAGAGGGGTGTCTGCCTTTGACGTTCTGGTATTTAAATAGTATCTTCTTATAAAATATGAATAATCAAAAGTCCTTTTAGCTTTTAGCATCAGGGGCCAAGAGACTTTTTGTCCCTCTTACCAGATTGCAAAGCATGTACTTTTTACCTTAGTTTTGATTTTTCTGGGAAATTCGGAAGAACTCTTCGAAAGGCCTCAGTGACCTGTTACACGGTCACCCCCGGACGGCCTTGCGCCCCACCTTCTTTACCCTCTCACCAGCGTGCGAGGTGTTGGCCACATCCCCTCCTCCACACCTTCCCCATGGCTTCCCCTGTCCGCCTCGAGCGGCTCCCCCGAAGGCTGTGCAGGGCCTCTCACGACACTGCTTTACTGACCCCTTCCTCGCTGTGGTCTTGCCCACCCCGTCTCCGCAGTTGAAGCATGAGGGGTATTTCCACTCAGCACGAGGCGCCTGTGGTCTGCCTGGCTTGTTTCTACTGAGATCCTCTCACCCAGTTGGGCCAGCGCCCTCACATCCCTTGTGGGCCTCCCCTGTGCCAGCTGCTGCTGCCGCCCCTCAAACCTGGTCTGCACACAGTTCTCAGGCCTCATGCAGAATGACGCAGCTCCAGAGCCCTCTGCCAGTGCCCCTGCTAATTTAGGAGCCTCTGGGAGCCCCTCCACCTGTTTGCTGTTTTTTTTTTTAGGTTTGCAGTAAACATTCATTAAAAAAAATAAAATTCATACTCTAAATCATATTCTTTCTCATCATCTGTCAGGGTTAGAAAAAGGCAAAAACAGTTTTCTTAGTAATTCAAGCAGTATCGGATCTTGCGTTAAGTTGGGCACGCCAGGAAGCCAAAATCCAAAGTTTAAAATGGAAGGCCAGGTGTGGCATACCGACTGGACAACCAGTGGTGAATGACACGCCTGTGACCCCAGCACTCCAGGGGGCTGAGGCAGGGGAATCGAAATTTAAGCACAAACTGGGCAATTTAATGACTTAGGAAGACCCTGTCTCAGAATAAAAAATACCTAGCGGGCCAGGGATTTGGCTCAGTGGTTCTGCTTCCTGCCTTGCAAGCACAAGGTGCTGAGTTCAATCCCCGGTATAAAACAAAACAAAACTAGCGTGTGGATTCCACGGCACAGCCCAAGACTATCACTTGTATTTACAGTAAAGAAGAACTTGCTGCCTAATCATAACTGGTACTTTTTGTATGCCAGGCCCGGGCCTCTGTTTGGTTTCCCTCATCAGTATAAAGTAGGTATTGTTAGGAAATCCATCTTGCAGTTGAAGAAAGAGAGCACAGGGCAGTTTAAAAACTCGCCTGCAGGCCTGAAACTGTTAAGTAGCTATCTGGAACTCGGAGGCTTCTTATTAAATCCTTGCTGAGGTGAACTTCTCACTGTGTCTCCTTCCTGACTTCTCCTGGTGAGTCAAAGCGAACTCCAGCTTTACCAGTCCGCAGCTGAACTCCACCGTCACCCTGTGGTTGTCCTAAGCCAGAGGCGCCCCTCACTCTCCGCAGGTCACAGCCCCTCCCGCATGCGGCACCACGCTCTCCTTAGGCAGCCGGGTGACTGAACTGCTCGTGTTCGCCTTAGATGTGCTTCAGTCCGCTCTGCAAGTCGGCAGCCAGGGCTGTGTTTTCAAAACGCAGTCTTTTCCTGTCTCACGCTGCTTAAAATCCCTCCACAGCTCCTCGTTATAGTTCAGTCAAAGCTGGGCTTCCTTCCTGCTGGTTCTGACCCAGCTGCGACGTAGTCTCCTGCCTCAGAGTTTCCACTTAGAGCTCTGCCCCTCCAGCGTCCCCGCTGCCTTCCTCAGCTCGTCGTCCTGGCAGCCTCCCTGCATCCTCAGTGAGGCCCAACACCCTTGGTTCTTACAGAGCAGGTACTTCATAGAGGAGGAATTCAGAAGCGTATTTCTTTCATAGAAAATATCAGATTACTGAATTTCCTTATAGAATAACTACACTTAAAGGGCTCAGCTCTAAATACTCGGTCCTGTTCACGTTTTACCTGCTGTGATAATTGGGATGCGATACCATGCAGTGTGTACCTGTAGGTTACCTTTGTCTCCTACACAAAAGCAGCTGATTTTTCAAGTCTGACAGCGTGGCTTTTGTTGGAAGTCTGCGCTTTAAAGTTAGGAAGACAGATTCCCATCTTCCTGCTCTCTGGAAGCCAGTGTGGTAGAACAAGTTCACTCAAGACAACTTCAAACCAAGTGCTGCTGTAAACCACAACGGAAAAACTGCTGCGAAGTGTTCCCAGTAGAAATCTTGGAATTCCTTCAAGTGTATTGAGATTTTGTTAGAAATTGAATCAGCAGTGTAATCCATCTTCCAAGTGAGAACACACTCAGAGAGAGAGCCGGGGCCTAGCAGCATTAGCCATTAGAAGATCCCTTCGATCGATGGGTTACAAATCTGCCCGTGCATCCCTGCAGTGCCTGGAGGGAGCAAGAGCAGCTTCTGGCTGCAGCAGCATGAGCGACAGTGTCTCCCGAACAAGGCAGTCCGCACGGCCGCGTGGACTCCTTACTTGGGGAGGCCTTGGCTCATTAAATTCTGCAGAATGCAATTGTATTTTATTGGTGCACAGAGGAGAATCCGTCTTCCTTTTGTTTTTCAGATTTTCCAAACGTGGTTATTGAAGGAGTGCTCCATGGAATATTTTACCCTCATCTGCAGCCCAGGTAGAATCCCTGCATGGCTCAAAGAAGCTGAAGCAAGTTTCCAGGTCGTAGTCAAGGAAATCGATATCTACCAAATTAACCTAAACCCTATGACATAACAGCTCGAGTTAGTGGTAAAATTCACAGTCCCGGCTTAATTCAGGGCAGGGACATTTCCATTAGCATGGTGCTTTTAAAATAGAAACTGAACCAGGGCAGTGATGAGGTTAAGGGCGAGTGTTTAAGTGGAATAAAGTTGCCAACTGAAACCCAGGAGGAGGCAGCCCGGCAGATGCCTGGGAATACCGGGCCAAACTAAGCAGAGGTGTTCTCTGCTTAATCACACCATTTCTGCGTTGAAAGGCGTGTCCCGGGCTGCACTCGGCTGATCAGCTCTGCTGATGTTTAGTTCCCGTCTCTCGACACACTGATGCTTGCACGTCAGGTCTTCTCAGCCAGTGTGGTACCTTCTAACGTGCTGGCAACCACAGCTCCGTGCGAGTAAGAAGACAAACTGGAAATCACAGCATACGGACAAGTGTTGTGGAACTCAGAAACATGATCTGCGTTACACTGCATTCCCGTCACACCTCGGGGTCAGCCTCTGATGTCAGCAGAAGAGGAAACGGGCATTAGGAAGGCCCTCGCCTGGGAAAGGCACCGGGCTGGAAGTCTGGACGTCTCCCCATCGAGGCTGCCCTCTGGTGTCGCAGACAGGGTTTCTTTGAAGACCAAGTGGCATTGCTGGTGGTTTTCAGGGGCCGTTGTGTACAAAGAACACAGCCTTTTCCAACACTAGAATCACACTCAGCCCGGCAAGGTGGTCGCTGGTGAGAAGCAGGCCTGGCTGACCGTGAGGGGAGAAGAGCAGGCAGACTTGCAGGAGGGACGTGGCCACTGTGTCGCGCTGTTTTCCTTTTCGCTGACCTCGTGTGCGATTTAGTGAAGTTTAAATGTGTACGTGACTTCCCTGAACATTAGTAACATCTGCTGTTTGAGTAGTAAAGGCTAAAAGCACATGTACCATATATATGTGTGCTGTAGGTGGACATTTCACTGAATACTAATTAATAGCGAGCCTATTTATGGTTATTAGTTTTAACAAGTTTTTGTGTGGGAGAAAAATATTTAAAATTGTAACTAATAACTAGGTCGTTTTTATTAGAATCTGAATATACAGGTTTAAAGGTTGCTGCAAACTTAAAGATTATGTTTTGTGATTGATTGTGTCATTACATGTTTGAAATAAGTAAGCAATGAGGTGTTCTCAACCAAAAATAACTGAATATTCAAGCATTTGAAATATTTTTGAAATGTTTTTTGTTACTAGCTATTTTGAGTTAAATAAAAACAGGCAATAATATTGGAACTTGTCTTCTAGAAATTTAATGGAAACAAGGGTTGTGTCTCCCTTTTCACATATGCACACAAACAGAACTTCTCACATCTTCACATAGACATTCCTTTCTGATCTGAAAGGGTGTTCCATTAACTCATCTGTTTTTTAACATCTGTTATTAAGCTGACACTCATTAAATCTCAGTAATTTACCAGGACAGTAAGCATTTTAAAATAAGTAACAACCAAGCTTGGAACACTGCTCAAGAAATCTTTCTTAACTAAAATTTTTTCCTAGCACTTTCATTTTTATATCGAAGCTTTTAGCGTGTAATTTCATCTATTGGGATTCCCGTGGGAACTAGAAACCACTGCAGGTCTTTTAAGCAGAAAGGACTGTGTTCAAAGCTGAATGCTGACAGGGCCCGTTGGGAGGGCAAGAGGAGGGAACTCCTCCCCAGAAAGCCCTCGGGTCCCTCTAACCTGCCGGGGAGCCCCAGCCCGTGCCGGAGCCTGGTGAGTCAGGAAGCTGCTGCTAAACAGCACCATGCAGACTGGGAGGGGAGCGGGAGGAACTGGATTACACAGCTGCCGTCCACACCCACGGTCTTGCTGCTCGGCAGCCACCACCCAAAGCAGCAAGGAGCTGTATTCATTCACCGCTGCTCTTCATCAGAATATGAGGTGTCATCGAAAAATACGGCAAACGTTTAAATTTTTTTTAATGTAGTACATTAAAGAAAAACACATTGCCAAGAACTTGGGATGCGCGTGTTCCATGAGAGGGAGATGAACAGCAATGTGTCTTCTGCTCAGCTCTGTAGATGAAAACACTCACTGCCTTTCGATCGCCTCTTCTGCGTCAGTGACAGAAGCTTTGGCGCATTCCGCACGGCAGCGGCATCTGGGAAGGAGCTGATGGCCTTCTGCTTGTAGCTCAGGACGGAGCCCTGCAAAGGTGATAGAACACAGCTCCGTGATTGAAAGTTTAGTGAAAAACAAGACGCATAAAAAAGATTCTTCTGTTTCTCCTGTATCCAGATCCTCTCCCACCGCAAAGCTGTACTTGGTTTATGTGTGTAGCGCTCTGAATGCTGTTTCAGCAACATGCAAGCAAGCATGCATTTAACGTGCACATGTCCCATACATTCCTCTTTTGTACCTTTATAGAGCACAATGCTCTTTTTTTTTAACCTAGTTCCATTTGATACATTTTGGCAGCCTCTCCGTATAGTACATTAAGTGCTTTCCTCTTCACAATTGCGTAGATCTGCCACAACATGTGCGACTAGTCCCATGCTAATGGATATTTGTTTCTATTTTTCTATTATAAAAGGCGCCACAGGCAGTAATTTTGTGTGTACATGTAAATAATTATATAAATTACGTAAGAATGTTCCTAAATCTAAAGTTAAACTATAAAAACTTCTGTTGAAAATGCCGCCTGACACGTTTAAGCGCACATTTCTATTATCCGTACATCTTCTGGTGGCCTCTTCGGGGGTGGCTGCCCCACACTGCCCTGCAGAGGTGCATGCACGAGTCTGGCCAGCGTCATTCATTGGAAGCCTGCCCTTGGAGGAGTAACAGGAAGCTAGTTTATTCAGGATTCATAGGCAATAGAGAAGAGGAGGTAGAGGGAAGAAACCAGAAGAAAGAAAAGAAAAAGACCTGTCATTTACTTAGCATTATCAGCCCACCTCCTGGCTTGGCTAGTTCTGGACTTGCAGTGTTGCCTGGGCTGTCTCCAGCGACGTTTGGCTGAGCTCTCTTGGGCCTCATCTCGTCCGCCCAGTCCTGGCCACCTGTGTCCTTCCTCCTGGTGTCCTCCTGGCCCCTCTCCTCCCATTTGACGGAGTCAGCCCCTCGGGCACGTCTAGTAACACCTAGACCGTCACTGCCTGGGAAGTCTGCAGCTACCAACGTGTCAGCAAGCGCAGAAATCTCACAGTCCCATGTCAGAAACCACTGGCTTTCATCTTTTCGTTAACTTCCGTCATTGGCCAGTGGCTGCCTAACATGCAGTGGTGAGAAAGATTCCGGCTTGCTTCTGCGGATGGTTACTATGGGAAGAGAAAATAGCAAACGTCACAGAGGAAATGGCGAAATCCGAAGCCCGTGCGTCCTGGGGAAGGTAAGTGGGCACCGCTCCCGGAAGCGGCGTGATGATTCTTCAGAAGGCAGACAGCAGCACAAGCGTGCGATCCAGTCGTTCCGCTTCTGGACGCCCCAGGAGAGAAGAAGGCGGCTCAGGCAGACATTTGAGCATCCGTGCTCCTAGGGCCTTAGTCACAGAAGCCGAAGTGTGGAAACAACCGAGTGTCGGTCCGTGGGGAATGGACAGCAACCCGGGCGAACCGAAGACCTTAAGCGAAATAAGCAGCCACGAAAGGCCGAGAACTGCATAACTGCATGCCTGCATCTGTGCGGCTGTAGCGAGGCCACACTTCCAGAGACGGAGAGTAGAACCGGCCGGGGAGGGGGAGATGGGGCTGGCTGTGGTCTTGGATGACCACGGCAGAGCTGCAGAGGTGGTGGCAGTGGCTGTGCACTGCCGAGTGTGCTCCACACCCTGTGTGCCAGGGTGACCGGCGCCGGCCACACGTTTTACTTCAGTCAAAGTGACTTCGAAAGGGTTTCGAGTGGCTGCAGGCTCAGTGAGTAGGGTGCAGCAAGCAGCGCTTTGAGCCATGACGAGGAGTTTCGGCGCTAATCTCACATCCCCGGCAACTTTGAAGACTGTAAAGCAGTCGTTCCAAATCGGAGCTGAACCCCAGAATCAGTCGGGGTTCTTGGTCAGTGTTCTGGGCTGGGGCTTGTCTCGGGCAGTCGGAGCGCGGCTGTGATTCCGTGGTTCAGCTGTGTCAGGAACCGCTGTCTGACGGCCGAGGGATGGTCTCTGCCTCCCCGCCTCCTCCTTCCTCTCCACCTCCCCTCCTCCTCCCTCCTCCCACCTCCCCTCTCTTCCCCTGCCCCATCTCTGGTTTTCTCTCTGTCTCTCACTTTCTTTCGAGGTGGTATCTTGCTGTGTTGCCCAAGCTGATCTCTACCTCCTGGGCTCGGTGATCTTCATGCCTCAGCTTCCCAGAGCTAGAACAACAGCACGCTGTCCTGCTCCAGGCTAAGGGACTCATGTATTGACTTGTAACTGCCTCAGTCTCCACTCCAAGAGAAAACCTCTTCGGTCTGGGGATGTTCCCCGTGGCCACAGGAAGCGACAGCACAGTGGACCAGTCACACATTCGCCCAGCACTCGGGAAACGCGTTGGTGCTCCTCCACCGGATCAAGGCCCTGGGGTAGTAAAGAATGGAGACACGGTCCTTGTTTTTCTTGAAATGTTTCAGCCATTTGCTAGGGAGTGTCTTTATGTTCCTGAATTGAATAGAAAGTTCAGTCTGTCTACTCCCCTGGGAAGTCATCATCATCATCTTGCCTTTGTTTTGTTTTTGTCCCTGATGATGATTATAGACTTTAAATTCAGCCATGGAAACCCAGGAAAGTAGCGGCCACTAACTCCAAACCAAGGCGCCAGCCACTTTGTTTCTTTCCTGCAGATGCACACTGACAGACCGCAGCCTGACAGAGGCAAGTGGCATTTCCTTTTGTCTGAAGGAAGGTAATAAGTGTGGAACCACAGGAGTACATCACTTCCTAGAGAAAAAAATGTTCACCCTAAGGGTATGACTGTAAATCGGAGCTAAACTGGGGGCCACTTTCTGCCCTCCGGTCTCGGGCGGCCTATGACACCGCCAGTGTGCCTACTGGAGACACCCCATAAGGTACGCACTGAGCATCTCCTGGGTCTCGGCATGCTAAGCTGGGGTTTTACATACTCCACGAACGTCCCTACGAGGTAGTGTGTAGCACCTCACTGCCTTGAGGCTCAGAGATTCATAGCAATAAAAAGTGGCTCACCCTGAGCACCAAGTGAGGCCCAAAGGCCCTGGGGCAGCTCCTGTTCACAGATTGTATCACTGAAGCCTCCCAGCATGTTGGATTCATGTCTTAACTGCACTTTACGGGGAGAAAAGCAAAGCCAGGGCGGAAAGATAGCTTGACGGAAGCCACCAGTTAATAAAGGGCATCGGGATCAGAACTTTCCATCGGCAGGGCTCAAGCTAATCTACTTTCCGTGGGCCGCACTTTAGAACTGTCTGGGTTTCCGTGCACTTTTAATGAGATGTAAATATGCAAATGGAAGGAGCTAGTGTAATCGCTGCTCACATTTATGTACTAGTTGATAGAATACAAGACATTTTCCCTCCACACTCTGTGCTAGCGGCAGCCTCTTCCTGCCCTCCGCTCCCATGTTCCACTCCTACGTATTCTTGACCTGAAAGCCAGGGTGATCTTTAAATGCCCCTCCGATCACGTCCCAGGACTCTCATTCCCACTGTGAGCGGACCCTCTCCAAGTCCTCTGGTGTGCCTT